AAATCACAAGCCATTCTATATGATGCGCATTGACTAAATTGTATTGGTTTCGAACGGATGTACACCCATATCTTGTTCGACGGATCCGAGCACATTGCATGGCCATCCATCATATTGAATGATCGACCTAACCACCTTGCATGGTCATCAACCATGTCACATGACGGACCCAAGTACTGGTCATCAACCATGTCACATGACGGACCCGAGTACATTCCATAGCCATCCATCACGTTGAAAGACCGACCCAACCACCTTGTATGGTTATCCACTACGTCGAATAACCGACTCGCTCATGTTGCATGAGTGGTGTATTACTAGCAAGGATGAGCCGGATGACCACCTTGCATGAGTGACCGTCCTGACCACCTTGCATGCATGGCATATTACTCGTAAGGATGAGCTAGATGACAACCTTGCATGTTCAATCTCCACGTCGTAGCCTACCCAAGCACCTTGTGTGCTCCATTTCCAAGTTGCACGACCGACCCGAGAACCTCACATGCTCAATCTCCACATCGTAACCAATCAAAGCACCTCGCATGCTCAATTTCCACGTTGCACGACCGACCCGACCACCTTGCATGACCATCCACCATGTTGCACAACCAACCCTCTCTCCTTTAAAAATGGGGGTTGCAAGAAAAACAAACGAAGTAGGAATGGTTTGGCTCGTACTCCGACCACTGCCCCTCCAAGGAGAAACAAAGCATTATGAGAAACATGTCGACTCAATCCTGAAAAGGGGTTGACTTTCTTTCTCTCCTCTCCAAAAGATCTCTGGGATATTTTTAACCACCAGATAAAGTCTCATCACTACCGATTAGCAATCAAAAGAGAACCACCAACAATGTATCTCTGAGACTGAATCCCCCCAATTGAAGAAACGGCTCGGCTCGGAACACCCAATGAAATGACGACCAACCTATGGGGAAACGACTCACTTCTCTCTCTCTCTCTCTCTCTCTCTCTCTCTCTTTCTCTCAGCTCGAGGAGGTCGGATTTACAAGCCCACCTTCGCTGCACCACCATTCGACCTAGGAAAACACCCTCACACTCAGTCATATATACAATGGCCTTCAGGCAACGTTCCAAACGAGCACTTGAATAGCCAAAGCCGCTAGATGAGTAGAAATATATATATGTATCGATATCCACAAACTCCAAGTGCTGCCATCGCTTATAAATGCGACGCCATGGGTCCGGTGAAACCATCTCCTTACTTCTCACCTAGATTGGCTCGGCCTCACCATCTCCACCTTGTCCCACCATGGTCTAAGAGACAGCTTATATCTCCATATGGGTCTGCTAGGCTCGACCCTAGCATATTGTGCTCGGTTCAGCTCGGCCTCACCATCTTCGTGTTAGATGACCGACCTGACTACCTGCATGGTCAACCTCCACATTAGTGTACTCCTACCACTCCACACACAAGCAAGGTACGAATGAATCGAACATGAATTGGCTTGGTATAAAGACTGATGCAACTCCCCACCCAAGGCGCGACCCTTGAATAGAGAGTTGGTATATACCCTAGCTGACCTGATCCACAAGGTCCTTCCCAATTCAAAAGGTCCTACATGATCCAAAAGGTCAAAGCTGATCCAAAAAAACCTACATGATTCAATAAGTTCTACCTGACAAGAATAAATCTATGCCAACCTTGCATGGGTAGCTCTATGCCTACTAGGCATGGTTAGCCCTCCGCCCACCTTGCACGGCTAGCTTATTCGCCTTCATGCTTTACTCCGCATCACTTGCCAACCCGAGAAACTTGCGTGATTGATTCTCCAAGGAACAAAAGCTCCCCCCTCAAAGATACAAGTTGGTCGCCTCCCCCAGTAATAGTTCTACTTAAAGTTCCCAGTCGAGGACTAGTTCTCCACTAAGAACTTAGTGGCTTGTTAGTATAGGTACCTGGGCGGCACCAAGTGGCCTCACCTACCTAGCTGAGCTGTTGTACCTGGTTGGTACAAGGTGAGCTCACCTGCCTAGCCCAACTGAGGTACTTAATTGGCACCAACTGACCTGACCTACTCGAGCTTGTATTAGAGATACCTGATCGACACCCAGCTGACCTCACCTACTCGATTCACTATGTGTTGGCAGACCATAAGACACCACTCGATTCATTATGTGTTGGCAGACCATAAGACACCACTCAATTCACTTATGCTAATGGGTGATTTAGCATGGGCCCTAGAAGGTATATGGTCAATCACACACAATAGACCAATGCACAGATTTAGAGTGGTTCACCCATGAATAGGGATACGTCCACTATAGAGCTTGGTATTTATTATGGAGGAGTATTACATTATACATGGAAAGGCTTGAGAGCCTGAATACATGAGGAAGAAGGAGAGCCTGGGCGTCCCCTGATATACCCATGCAGAGGAGAATGGAGAGTCCTTTGTTGGAGAGGGGTTTCTTCCCATATATAGGTAGGAGATGAGAGCCACTTACCATTGTTTAATGGGCAAGTGGCAGCGTGGGTCTTCCTCAGTGGAGCATGAGCTGGGCACATGGGTCTGTCTTCTTGGTACTTGTGGCATGTGGGGGACCAGACTGAGTGGTCCCTATGTTGGTGAGTGAGGCCAGCCAGGAGAAGCACATGGATTTGGGCCAAGTAGAACTCAACTAAGACATAGTGAATCGAGTAGGACATATTACTCGGGTATGACCAAGGATGAAAATATTGGCGATACAGATATTATCGGGCCTTCAATTTATGGATATTTTGGGGGATATATCGATGTCGTCTTAGGTATCGGGGAAAATCGACAAAAAAGACAAATAATGGCTTAAAAACACGGAATTTTGAAGTGAAACTTTCATAGATATTAAGCACATTATCAATGAATGTATTGAAATAATAAAATTCAAAATATACTAAGTATAAGATATGCATATGATGAAATGTACGTGTATATATAATGCGCGATGAAAATCCTGAAAATAAATACAATTAGAGACTTAACACAACAAAGACAAAACCCAACCCAACCCATTAATACATAACCCAACATTATATTACAAGAATTAGACTTAATGATAAAGGAAATGAGAGATGGAAGATTAGGTGAAAAATAAAATCAAACACACAGGAAACTGATCAACCAGAGAGAGGAGAGGAAGAGCCGAAGATAGTCGAAATGACTGAGAAGAGAAGAAAGTAGAAGCTACTAAGTATTAGAGCTTGGTTTTTGACATTGATTCAGTGCCTGGGACCTTTGATTACTTTTAAAATTGAAGACAAATTTCTAGGTTATTTGTCTGGTATCGGAAATATTGGTAAATATCAGTAAATATCAAGGATATCGGGGGCATTGGGGAAATATCATCGATAAGGGGGAAGAAATTGGCTTATCCCCCCTTATCTGTATTGTTAGTTTAAAAGAGAAGAGGGTTGGAAAATAGTTGGTAGTGTTTTAGGATAATAGGTTGATTTGGAAAGGAAAACTTTTTGAAGAGTAACAAAGTGATTTTATTTGATTGAAATAGGAAGTACAAGACTTAACTGGAGTTGGATAATTGGAAAATAGTTGGTAGTGTTTTAGGATAATAGGTTGATTTGGAAAGGAAAACTTTTTGAAGAGTAACAAAGTGATTTTATTTGATTGAAATAGAAAGTACAAGACTTAACTGGAGTTGGATAAAAGCTTGTTGGCTGGCTGTAGCTTTTCTCACTTGATTGATGCATATGGGCAGCTAATAGCATATATATAGACTAGCTGAACCGACTTAAACCTGGCAAATATCTAGTGAAGTCGGTTATTGCACAGTAACTGACTTCTCAAACTGATTTCCAGCCACTAGTTATACTATAAGTCTAGAATAGTCTAGTTACAATACATTAAATAATTAATAGGATGTTTCTAGTGTAGAGCTCAAATTTGTCTTGTCTTCTTTCACTCAATTGTTCTAGATTTTTCTAGATTATTCAAGACATTTCTATATTATTCTAGTACAAATGTGCATTACTTTTTAACATGTATCAACACCCATAAAAAGGGATATACTGGCCGATATATCGGGATATCGGCCGATATTTTCATCCTTGGGTATGACATTTCAGGTAAGACACATATCGGAGGCTAGGCTATATTGAAACGAGTAGGATACCTCGGGTAGGAAATTTCGGCTAGACCATATATCAGGTATCAGAGAGACTATTTGGTGCCAACCAGATGTGTATAACAACAATGCTGGTCATTGTGAGTATGCTTTGTGCGTACGCTACTATATACAAGCACGAGGGGTTGTCGTTGAGATTTCCAGGTAGTAAAGCGGGTTGGGATTAATATCAACAATGGGGACGTGTTTATAAAGTGGAAGTAGTTGGCGAAGTTGTTGGCTGAGGACTTTGAGATTGAGGACCATGGGCCCAAACCGTGAAGGATGTTGATTTACAGTTATAAGTTGTGAAAAGTGGCTTTTAGTCATTAGAAACTCCAGTTTAGATCCAGGACCAAAGAATAGTAGCTGCATAGTGGCCTTCAGTAAAAAGCACCATAATTAGTGTGCTTTCTTCCCAAACCACACCATTAATAATGGTGTCAATTGAGGAGTTTGGTTTAGCTTGATGGAGATGCTGAGGGACAAAGGTGGAGTGTGGGAAAAGATTGTGGGGGAGCTGGGCTCTGGGAGGTTTGTGGAGGTTGTATTGGGTGGGGGAGCTGAGTTGTCTCATGAACAAGAGTAAGGAGCATGGGTTTTGTGGATTTAGAAACTCCATATTCCTTTGTTTCTTGGATTGTTAAAATGAAAGCTACAAGATTGTGCCATGATTGAGATAGTGTTGAATTTTAATTGGAAATGTTTGGTTGCTGTGTGGTTGTGACTGGTAAGTTTCATGTTGGTGTGACTTTTTGTGTAATATGTGAATATGGACGTGCCGATTGAGTTTGTGTCACCAAGACACACAACAAGAACAACTCAAGAAGCAAAGAAAGAGCAAATAAGGGTAGAGGCTAAAATTCAAGTATGGCCAACATGAATGCAAAAATATGTATTTCTTGTTCATCAAATAATAAGAGCATAATTTTGTTTACTCTGTTAATGCTACAACTAATATAAGAGCACAGTTTTGTTTATTTTCTCCATGATAAGAAAAAAAACATAAAAATAGTGATAATAAACGATGCCCTTGTAAAATTGCAAACTAAATATCCCCAGAGGCGACACCGTTTATGGTGGTCGGAGTTGGAGATGTTACCGCACCGCTTGTCACCCGGGCGAGTGAGATGTGCGCCGGCATAGAGGCGCCTGTGCCGAGGTGGCACGAACAACAACTAGGGTTCCGTGAAGGTGGCGACAAGATCAGGCGTTGGGGCAGAGTGAGCGAAACCTGCAGGGGCTTTGCGATAGCGAGATCTTAACGGCTGAGGATCTCTCGGTTTCGATGGACGGTCAGATCAAATGGAGCTCCTTAATTAATTGGCAGCCCCTTGTTTGCTTCCAATCTCCTTCTGAGAAGGCAATTTATGAATCGTGATGACATGATGTGGCACGTTATCATTGGTGGAACTCGCAGAAGAATTACACGGCTGCAATGCTTTTTTTGGCTCTGCGCTCTTGAACTGCACATGCGAAAACGAGGACAGTTCCTGGATCGACTTCTCGATTTGCTCAGCGTACGAAACGACGTCGCTTAGGAGCGAAGCTACAGTGACAGCAGGTACGATGTCCAGGAGGTGAATGCCTTCGCTACCCAACAATGCTGCGCTGGTTTTGAGCAGAGATTTGAGGTTATTGGCTGCAGCTCTTGATTTTGTGATGTGGCAGCTGGCGGCAGAGCATGGCTTGGTCATTGTTTTTAGGGCCCATGCTAGCTCTTTCAAGGCCTTGCCTGATTCCGAGCTCATCTTCATGCATAGCTCTTGAACTTTGTTGCTCTGGATGTTTAGAGGTGTCTGTACAATAACAAAATCTCATTGTTAATATGTACACATTTTTCGTTGTGTCTTTCTTTGTAATATAGTCTTATTAAATGATCTGGTGTACAATACCTGAATATCTGAGTTGAGGTAGCCATTAAGAGTGTCGATCCGGTATGCGCATTGTCGGGTTAGGGTACCGATTTTCAGATAATGTTTCCATGGATGACGGTATCTAAACTTTCCATGTCTAGGCTCCCACCTTGCAAAATTTGCCTGCAAAACATCAAGGTATAGTGTTATCAGTCTATCTATGAGTAGTAATTATGTCTTGTCAAACAATTTGAGATGTTATTTTGCTACGCTATGAATTAGATCCATAAATTACATAAAATTTATGTCTAAATATGCGGTTCTAATTCATAGTCTAACTCAACGCATGTCAAATACTTGGCAAATATCATTTGTAATTTACATTTGACTTAGATACTTGTAATCTGGTTGTTGTGGGGGTAATTAAGAGAGACTCAATACCTGACTTTCTTCACTCTGTTTTGAGTTGAGAACACTAGAATATCCTTGCAAAAGTGCCTTATTAGACTCTGTATTGCCGGCTACTTTAAAGTATTCATCCCCAAAACCTGCAAGTTTTTAAAAAATTTATAGTGAGTGTTTCCAGTCACATAAGTAATGAAAATTCCAGGCATGTAATGCATGTGAGTAATGTACCTTCCAAGAAGCTCCCAAGTTTCTCAATGTTGTTAGCAACAGAGTTGTGCAGATCATCACCAGCCCATACAGGGCAAATGAAAACACACACAAACACAGCTGTAAATGCGCCTATCAGGATTGTGGACACCCTCTTGTGGGCCATTTCTAGTATCTCCTCATCTCTGTATCCCGACACGGATATCAGACAGAATGTCAAGATAAAAATCAGAAGTCCATAGTCGTATCGCGCCTTCAACCGCGGAAAGAAGCGTAGAAATGTCACTGATGCAGCTGCACATGAATAAATTCTATTAATTCCCAATTCATTAATATTAGTTGTAATTTATGTGATGATAAAGTTGCTTGAAAAAAGCTTCTAAATATTTTTATTTCTTTTTTCAGATGGAGTAATTTTACCTAGTAGAAAGACAAAGACCCCAATGAGTATTGGATGAGCTGTTTGTCCAGAAAGATTTGCCAGGTGATGAACACCAAATCCTAGAGCACCTGCTAGGAATGTTGCCAAAATCCTGTTTAAACCTCTTCCTAGTGTTGCCCCTGCATTATGCACACACACACCAAAAAAAACAGATAAATAAATTTATTCATATCAACTTAAACCAAATTTAATTAAAACAAAACTATGATGGTTTATAAGTGAATCAAAAAGCTAGCAGAAATTAAAAACATACCTACAGAAAATTCGAAGACGACAACAACAGTCAAAACAGCCCACATGGCAGTGGCACCAAGCTCATCATAGAGAGGCTGGAAGTAATAAAGCAATGACACCAAAAGAACTGCAAGTCCTACTTTAAGAGAATGAACGATCCTTCTGGGATCATCTTGCCCTAGTTTCTTTAACTTTCTTGGAAATTCCACCACCTTGTTCATCAACTTCCCACAGAAACCACGATCTCCATTTTCTCCTTCGTTACGATTGTTCTGATCACGAGCTGCTTCAGATGCCATTTTGATTTCTGTGTGCTGCTGAGAGTGAAACAGACACCAGTGGCTGAGAGAGGCTTGATGTTCTTCAGCTTTGAAACTAAGTATATATAACTTAGCTGTGTTCTTTCATACGTGAGATATATATAGTGAATAAAATATGCAGAAACAGATGACGAAGCTGCCTTGAAGCAGAGAAAAAAAATCATAAAAATATTAAGATTTTATTAAATAAATATGTGAAATGCTAGAACCCTACGCGTATACATATATCTTCCTTATTATTTGCAGGTAGCTTTAGGTTATCATTTTCAAAATAACACGTCTCGATTTACAGGTCCTACTGTGACGGTGCTGGACAACTAGTACCAACCAGATAGGTGTCACGCTGGTATTGGATATCACTCAGTACAAACGAGTGCCTGTGCCTACTCTGTGGTCGTTTTATCATTTTCTGTTGTCGTTTGGTTGTGATTCAGTGTTTCACAGCAGAATCCCACCTGGGGTCAATGCAATTGTTGCACCACCTTTTGTTTGATATTGTCGTTTTTCCAAGTACGTACGGGTTAGTTGGGACACAAACTTATTATTTATTAATTCTTGTGAACCAAGCCTGTTTGCCATACTTTAATTTTCTTATCTGTATCCAGTACATGCCAAAGAGAAATTATATGAGCGGTCTTTTTCGTGCGGCTTCACCGTGTACACCTGTTCTGTTCTTTTGGGTAGGTGCTCTTGGAGTGTGAAACGATTAATTGTTTGATATAGACAAGAAATGAATTAAGAAAAGCTATCTTCTTTTAGAAAAGGCTTATTATCACAAAAGATCCCTAAGGTTTACGAAACTATTAGATTTCATCCTTAATGTTTTTTTTTATCATTAGTGGTCCTCAAGGTTAGTATGTATGATCACAAATGGTCCCTGCCGTTAGATTCCGTCAAAAACTCCGTTAGTTTGCTGATGTGGCATATATATATATCACAAAACATCCCTGAGGTTTACACACCTATCACAAATGGTCCCTGCAAATTTTTTAAAATTTTTAAATTTAAAATTCATATGATTTTTTTCATTTTTAAATTTTATGAATTTAAATTATTTTTTAAAAACTCCATTAGTTTGTTGATGTGGCATCTATGTGGAGCCCACATCTAAAATAATATAGTGTCATGTGTATTTAAAATACAATATATATTTTAAAATAATTTAAAATTCATAAAATTTAAAAATGAAAAAATCATTTATATAAGGATTTTAACCTTAAGGACCATTTATAATCCCTAAACCCTTGGTTTTTTTCATTTTTAAATTTTATGAATTTTAAATTATTTTAAAAAAACTTTATTAGTTTGTTGGTGTGGCATATATGTGGAGCCCTCATCTTCAAAAATATAGTATCATATGTATTTAAAATACAATATATATTTTTAAATAATATAAAAAAGAAAACCAAAATTTTATGAATTTTAAATTAAAAAATTAAAAAATTTCGCAAGGACCGTTTGTGATAGATGTGTAAACCTTAGGGATGTTTTATGATATGTATATATGCCACGTCAGCAAACTAACGGAGTTTTTGACGGAACCTAACGGCAGGGACCATTTGTGATTATACATACTAACCTTGAGGACCACAAGTGACACAAAAAAACATTAAGGATGCAATCTGATAGTTTCGTAAACCTTAGGGACCTTTTGTGATAATAAGCCTTTAGAAAAAGGAAGCTAGCTTTTGGTTTTCTTTTTTTCTTTCTTTTCTATACATATTTTGTTTTCAGATCTTGGGTAGTTTCTCGATTCAATTAATATAAATTATCTGTTTTAGACGTCTATTTCTCTCAAATTCAATTAATATAAATGATATCTATTTTATCATCATATATATAACCGGTCTTGACAAAAGTCTAGACTGTGTCTCGTTAAAACTTTGCTTGGGGAAAATCTAGCGGGACAAAATCCTACAAGAAGAAAAAAGAGAGTACTCTGATGTTCAAAATTTTATGTTCAACAATAAAAACCACATTATTTGTAACTTTCAATTGTGGACATGCTTTTCCAACCTTTGTAAGCATTTCTTCATTTGATAAATCTTTCTTTCTATCCTCTAGAGTTAATCAAAGCGAAGCAGCATCACATGCACTTACAAAAATAAAAATAACAATGAAATTTCAATCACAAAATATCATTTAAGATAAATTTACATGAAGTCTTCTAGCTTTAAATTTCACTCTTAAAATGTGAGAATGTGAAGGTGAAATATACATTGGAAAGTTGAAAAACCTAACAAGGACTTACAAGGAGTTAGACTACTCCCCCATTACTAATTGATTTTGGAGTGGAACCTCAACTTCCTTCATAAAACACAAAGAATACACACTTAATGTTGTGTTTTCAATCCAAGATGCTGCGCAGGTCGTAGTAGAAGTTATTTCCAGTGCCTATGATCAGCATCTCTTTCAACTTTTCCATTCCCAAACATCTTCACATCATGTCACATGCAACCTTAAAGCCCCATTAGACCTACTTTCAAGCCCCATTAGACCTACTTGCCTATGATCATCATCTCTTTCAACTTTTCCATTCCCAAACCTTCACATCATGTCACATGCAACCTTAAAGCCCCATTAGACCTACTTTCAAGCCCCATTAGACCTACTTGCCTATGATCAGCATCTCTTTCAACTTTTCCTTTCCCAAACCTTCACATCATGTCACATACAACCTTAAGCCCCATTAGACCTACTTGCTCATGATCAACATGACTTGCCTATGATCAGCATGTCTTTCAACTTTTCCATTCCCAAACCTTCACATCATGTCACATACAACCTTAAGCCCCATTAGACCTACTTGCTCATGATCAACATGACTTGCCTATGATCAGCATGTCTTTCAACTTTTCCATTCCCAAACCTTCACATCATGTCACATACAACCTTAAGCCCCATTAGACCTACTTGCAAGCTCACACAACATCCAGCCCAAGCCCGACTCTGCCAAGCTTGCTGTCACAGACAGTCCACACTCATGTATGCTGGGTCTTGCTTCTCATTCCTTGGTTTGGATCTTGTTGTGCCATATATATATGTCTTGGCTACCTACTAACAGCCCAAGTCAAGTCTTGCCTCTCTAAAAGCCACTCATGTCTTGTTTACTACAACAAACAACACATCAAATTTTCTTTGTCCAGCCTTGTTGTGGGAATATGAATTTTGGCAACGAATCACAAGGTGATACGTGGATAGAGGAATATTCCTTAGGTCAAATAATTGTGCTAATTAAACGCCATTTAATTAGTCAATTATTCGTAATTTACGATAGGAATATCTCCCCAAATCAAGGATTCGATTTCCATCAAATCTCCTTGATATTATCTTGTCATTTATGGAAAATAATAATTCATTTCCTTATGAGAATTATTCTCTACAAACCCTAGCCAACAAGGAGACTCTATAAATAGATGGCTATACACCACATATGAGGTAATCCTAATTCCATTCAAAAATGCTAGAGAAACTCTCTCTCTCTCTCTCTCTCTCGCCACTCTTTCTCACAGCTCCAGCCGCCCCTTTATCTCTCCCAAGACCATTTAACTGATTTATGCATTGGAGGGCCTTTGGCCAACACTCACTAGGTGTGCTTCGTTGACCGTATCTATTTTATAGGTATCGAGGAAGAAAAGGTTCGAGTGTGAAGAGGATCATCCGCGAATATTCTCCCTGAAGGAAATTTGCACAAACATTTGTCTTGTCTAACTTCGCTGCATATTTTCCTGGCCTAGGCTTTGTTGACATGTCCTAGATCAGGGGTAGAGCCACATACAGGCATGCAATGGCCTTGGCGCCCCCCTCCCCCCGGGGTCTCGTGAAGCTCCATGAAAAAAGCAATTAATTCTTAAGTAGCTACTGCAATATTAGTTTAAATGTAAATCTATAGTACTGGCTTGGCTCCCAAAGAAAAGCTACTAGCTTTGACATTGTCCTGGATGTCAATGATACTCTTAGAAAACTTAGGGGGGTGTATTCAATTTAGATTTTAAAAGATTTTAAAGAAGTTTAAAAGTTTAGGTGTATTCAATCACGATTTTATAGAAGTCTATTCAATTCTTGGTGTATTCAATTCAGACTTTTTAAACTCCATTCAAATTTGGATGTATTCAATCATGACTTTAAAAGACTTGATAAAAGTTTGGGTGTATTCAAAAACTCATTGATTTTAAAGGAAATACAAAAAATGGATTTCGTTTGATAATAGACTAATTTTAGGCCATGACAAATCTTTGCTTCCCCCTAGAGATTTTGATAGATATATTATTTTATTCTCAAAATATGATTTTTCACCACTTCTACTACCACCATCTTATCAAGACTATCACCATAGTCATCGTCGTGCCACCACCACCACCACAGTCATTGTCATTGTCGCCGCCACCACCACCGCCATCTCCGCCACCCCCTAGCACTACCACCATCCACCGCTGCCCCCACTACCAGCCACACCATCACCCCCACCATCACCCACACTACCACCAACACCATCACTGCCACCGCCGCGGCCTCCACCACCACTTCCGCCATCGCCACCACCCTTACCCCCACCTCCACCACCACTACCACCCACGCTATCAGCCCCACCGTCACCACCACCACAACCACTGCCAGCATCATCACCATAACTGCCATTGCCACCTCCACCTCCACCACCTCACTCCCACCGCCACTACCACCGCCACTACCTCCCCCACAAACCACCATCCCCACCGTCATTGCCATCACCACCATCGCCATCACTATAAACTCCATTAAAATCAATAATAAATTTCTAAGACACTCAATTAAAATCTATACACAATTTCAGTCAAAATCTATATGGAGTTTGTAGAATTCAATCAAACTCAATTAAATTCAATTAAACTCCATCAACTTTATAACTCTTTTAAAATCATTTAAAATATAAATTAAATACACCCTACTTAATAAAACTTTGACGCAAATAAATACTCTTAGATAAATCTTGACATTAACTCTTAATAAATTGACAACTTTGCACAATTTTCACTTTGTACTAAAAAAACTGTATTGTTAGATTCTGGGCAATGGATTGAGTATTGGATTTTGAGTGAGAATATATCCTTCTTTTCCAACCAATTAGAAACGAGTTGCTATCATCAAAATATCTCAAACTTTATTTATGCTTGTCATGTATAT